ATTCTATTCTATTCTATTCTATTCTATTCTATTCTATTCTATTCTATATTCTATTCTATTCTATTCTATTCTATATTCTATTCTGTTCCTTATTCTATTCTGTTCTGTTCCATTCCATTCTATATTTTATTTTATCTATTCCTTGTTCTGTTCAATTCTATATTCTATATTATAAAATAATATACTATATTGTTTTCTATTCTATATATTTTCTATTCCTATTCCTATTCAAATCCTACTCTACTCATTCAAAATTACGACCACACTGAAAAAGTGACCTACTATTGGTCCTTGCACTTACAACTGTAGCAGCATCCCCATGGTCACGTGACCAGAATTTGGGCATTTGGTAAGCGGCATATATTTAGGATCTTTGCAGCATTCTAGGGTTATGTGGCCACCATTTACAACCTAATTGCAGTGAGGCTTTGTGATGAAGATGTCAACATTTGTTTTCTCCAAAGCAGCAGAAGCTGAAAAATCCCAGATCTACCTGGCGGCAATAAAATATGACCCCGATGGTCTGATTGTCCAAAAGAATGGAGATGGCTGTACCTTCCTTAAAATTGATTCGGTGCTTCAGAGAAATATTCAGGGAAAGATCCTGAGGTTTCAAGGTTTCAAGGTTGTGTTGCACGTGGACACGGAGGGTCACCACACCGGCTTTCTGTTCCTTGGATCCTGAAATGCCCACCTGGAAGGAATGCTGGTTCAATTTTACTGATGATGTCAACAACAACCTGTTGTAAGAAAGAAACAAGTGAAAATCAACATTAACAGATTTCTGAAAAGGCTAAGCAAGCAGCCAATACAATTTGATAGTAAAGGAGCTTTCTATAATGTTTGCAATTTTGCGGGACTGCAGAAAAATCACCAAGAGATGCCAAAATACTTCAGCGGGTGAAAAAAATTGGGCAATTTTGGTCTTTGAAGCTAAATAGGGTCAAACTAGGTCACTACTTCAGTGGAAGGCTACCAGAAACAACAGAGCTATAGGCTATGCTGGAAGTCAACAAGCAACTCAGAAAAAGACAGTGGAAGAAAGTCCATGGATTGTGTCCATGAAATCATCAAAAGTTGAGCTGGAAGTAAAGGAGACCTGACCTTATCTTTCAATGTATCCTTGTTGTCATTTAGAAAACAAACAGGCCAATTTAAGACCAATGCAATCCTCATACTTTATTTGGTCCCGGTATTTCCTTTCCCAATATAATAACATAGCTTTCTGTGGTTGATGATTATTGTTTTCTACTTCTTTTATTGTTTTAGTATGAGGACATAGAATAGAATAGAACAGAAGAGAATAAAGAAGAGAATAGAATAGACTATAGAATAGAAAACAGAATAGAATTGAATAGAATTCTTTATTGTCCAAGTGTGATTGGACATACAAGGAATTTGTCTTAGTGCAAATGCTCTCAGTGTACATAAAAGAAAAGATACATTTGTCAAGAGTCAAGAATCATAAGGTACAACATTTAACAATAGTCATAGGGTACAATAAGGAATCAAATTATACTAGGAAACAGTCAATAAAAATTGTTAGGATAGAAGCAAAAAGATTACAATCATATAGTCATACGCAGGAGGAGATGGGTGAAAGGAAGGATGCCTCCCTATTAATAGTAATAGTAATGCAGACTTAGTAAATAGTTTGACAGTGTTGAGTGAATTATTTGTTTAGCAGAGTAATGGTGTTCAGGGAAAACTGTCCTTGTGTCTAGTTGTTCTGGTGTGCAGCGTCTGTAGCGTCATTTTGAGGGTAGAAGTTGAAACAGTTTGTGTCCAGGATGTGACACAAAGAGGCAGTACTCTAGTCCTGCCCACATTCACAACTCACAAATCCGTTGGGCTAACAGAAATGAATCAAACCACAAGAATTGGTGAAATGACCGCAAAGCGATTTACACCACGCAGAAACAAGCAACCCTCTTTGCCATTTCAGTAAGTGAAGATGTTCTGCTTTTATCTTTCCTCAGATTACAGGTAACAGTATAAAGTTTCTTTAAAGCCAACTCTGGATTATCACTTACCCAACACTTTATTTACCTTGATGGCGTCTCCTTACTCAGGAACTGCAGCTCCACATATTTAAACTGATCTAGAATGTCTTGCTTTAGGGCAGCGCTCACACGAAAGGCTCGGGTGTTTCTTTTCAACTCATTGTCAAAATTGGCCTCCAGGAACATTAGATTCCGTGTACTGGTGTGGAGGTCAAAAGATCCATTGACGCCATTTTGGCCATGATAGTTTAGACTGGCCTGGGCCTAAAGCATCAGGAAAACAGAGTCAAAAGATCACGCTCAAGTCCTTGGTTGGCCGACAATCCAAAATCCATGGCCCCAGATGTCAAAAGAAGAAGGAGGAGAATGGGAGGAGAACGTATATAAAGGCACTACTCTCAAACGATGGGTGCATTTTGTAAATCACTGATCCTGCCAATAGAAGAAGAATGTTTGTAACTCAGGGTTGAATTGTGGGATCCTTGGTGCTCACTGAGCTTGGGTGGTTTTCTTGCAGATGTTTCCTTACCCAATTAGGTAACACCATCAGTGCTATAAAGGAGTGGGGCTTGCAGACAGGAGAAAGAGGGGGAGGATGGGGGTTTGGACTAGATGATCTAAAAGGTCCCTTCCAACTCTGTTAATCTGTGTAATCTTGGAGAAGGTGGAGGTGGAGGATGGGGGGTTGGACTAGATGATCTAAAAGGTCCCTTCCAACTCTGTTAATCTGTGTAATCTTGGAGAAGGTGGAGGTGGAGGTGGAGGTGGAGGAGGAAGAGGAGGAGGAGGAGGAGGAGGAGG